TAAATTATATTTATATACAAATAAAAATGTATATCCATGTAAATATATAAATATAAAATATATAAATACAAATATATTTATATATTTATATGTTGGATGTGAGGACGCGCTCGAGGATAAAAGTGTGTGTCGAGTGAATTTTTAAAATTTGATGTCAAATTTGTGAGCGGGTCTCTTTATATGGATTATAACTTAATGACAAAATATAATCTTTATAAATTATTTATATAATGATATAAAATAATTTTTTTCTTTATTTTATATCATTATATAAATTAATTATAAAGATTATATTCTATATTATTATAAATAAATTATAAAGATTATATTCTATCATTAAATTACAAATTCATATAAAGAAACTTGCTCACAAATTTGACATCAAATTTTGAAAACTCACTTGACACACACTTTTACTCTCGAGCGCGCTCTCACATCCAACATATAAATATATAAATATATTTGTATTTGTATTTATATATTTTATATTTATATATTTACATGGATATACATTTTTATTTGTATATAAATATAATTTATGTATAAGTTATTATTAGAAAATCTTGGTAGCTTAGTGGTTGGAGTATCGACCTCCGACTTCAAGGTATTGGGTTCGAATCCTGCCAGTAACAATTCTCTTAATTTTATAAAAAGACTTTCTACATCGGTTCATCTGGGAACCGATGTTGAAAGTGTTTTCTACATCGGTTCTTAAAGAACCGATGTGGAAAGCCCGATGTTAAAAGTGATTTCTGTACTAGTGAATCTCTTATTATTATTTGAAATCTATGTCTCTTGCAAATAGATCATTTAGGTTACAAGATGATGTTTTGTTGAATTGCTTCTTAAGTGGTATTCATGTTGAAATTTGTTGTGATGTAGTTACTCAAGTCCCAACATTTTTAATGAGGGAAGTTGCTCTAGCCAAGTTATGTGAGGATAAATATGTTATTGTCCATAAATATATCATTGCATCTATGTGTCGTTATTCGCCTATTGTTGTGTCCTTGCTTATGACTCCTCATAATATACCACAACATATGGTTAATACTCATTCCATTTCTAAAGTTTATAACATGAAATTGATGGATCATAGTGCACAAACATTACCATTACTTGAATTACCAATGGATATGGAACCAAAGTTAGTTCTTCTATTTCGTTCATATGCTTCAACTTTTTATATTGCAGTTGTTTACCACCTCTTTGTTTCAAGTTTTCACTATATTCCTTTAATTGAAGGAGAAACTCCAGTGAAAATTAAATCCACATAGTTAAAAAGAAGAAATTGAAAGGTTAGTGGTATATATGCTTTATGAAGGGACTATTCAGCCAAGTAAGAACATTTTTTCACCCCCTATAATTTTAGCAAAAAAGAAATATGGTTCTTGGAGAGTTTGTACAAATTATAAAGCTCTTAACATCATAATTATCAAGGGTAGTTTTCCAATTTTCACAGTGGATGAATTATTTTGTGCTTCTTCTTTTTTTCTAAACTTGATTTGAGATTCAGTTATCATCAAGTTTTGTTGGCACTAGAGGATAGATGTAAAATTGCTTTTCACACACATCACAGGCACTTTGAATGACTTCTCATGCCTTTTGGCCTAATGAATGCATCGATCACGTTTCAAAGTTTAATGAATGATGTTTTTCAAGATGTCTTAAGAAAGTTTTTTTATTTATAATGTCTTACTATATAGTTCTTCATGGAATGAGCATAGACATCATTTAGAAGTGGTTATGCATGATACTTCAACAAAAGTAATTATATGCTTGGTTTTTCAAATATTTATTTGAAGTGCAGGAAATTGAGTATTTAGGCCACATTTTATCGAGTCATGGTGTTGTTATGGATACTTCAAAATTTAAAGTTAAGGGACTGACTTTAACCAACAAATTTAAAGAAATTACATGGATTTCTTGGTTTAACTAGGTATATTATCGATAATTTGTCAAAGGATATGCGCAGCTAGTAACACCTTTGATTGACCTATTACAGAAGGATGTGTTCCAATGGACTAGAGTAGCAACACAAGCATTTATACAATTGAAAAAGGCATTAAGTACAACACTAGTGTTAGCGATTCCAAATTTTTTGAAACTATTTGTTTCAGAAATGGATGCATCAACATTAGGAGTGAGAGCGGTATTGATAAGAAATCATCTCATTGCATATTTCTCAAAGAAATTGTCTCTGTAAAATAAAAAACAATTGACATATACATGAGAATTTAATGTTATTACAAAGAAGTTGGCTAAGTTTAGACATTACTTACTTGGTCACAAGTTTGTAATCAAAACTGATAAAAAAAGTCTCAAAGAATTATTAGACTAGCATTTACAAACATTAGAACAACAACAATGGTTACCTAAGTTTTTGGATTTTGATTTCAGTATACAATACAAATCGAGAAAAGAAAATATACCTATAGATGTTTTGTCAAGGAGTTTCATAATGGCATGGTCTAGACTCTATGGCTTAGAAGGGTTGCAAACTTGATCCAAACTATAGATAAATTAAAGAAATTGTATGATAACTATGTAACACATAAATTGCAGTTTCAAGAATATGCATTAAAATATGACTTATTTGTTTTAGAGAGCACGTATTATGTTATTGGCTAGTGAGGACATAATTAATCAAGTATTATTTGAGTTTCATTTCTCAAATACTATTGGTCATGTAGGTGTATCAAAGACTATGGCTAGAATTATTGCTCAATTGTTTTGGCTATGGATGTGACAATGAATTCGCAACTTTGTGTGTGAATGTCAAATCTGACAACAAGCGAAATCAGAACAAATGTTACTAGTTGGCTTACTTATTCCTCAACATGTTTAGGATGACATCTCAACGAATTTCATAAAAAATTACCTGTAGAACATGAGTTCTCTACTATTATGGTGATGGTTGATAGACTTTCTAAATTTAGGCATTTCATTCCATTAAAAGTTTAGTATACCAGTAAGATAGTTGTTAATGCATTTGTTAACAACATTATAAAGTTATATGGAATAATTATTAATGATAGGACAAGATTTTTATAAATTCTTTTTGGCAAAATCTCTTCAAAGCTCAAGGGACAATGTTGGTCATGAGTTCTTCCTATCATCCACACTTATATAGGTAGACAGAGGTATTAAACAAAACATTGGAAATGTATCTTATATGTTTTATGTTTAATAATCTAAAAAACTGATATTCAATGCTATCATGGGCACAATACTAATGTAATTCATCTCTGCATTGGTATGTTTTTATTCAAGGCGTTATATGTTAAAGATCTTGTGTGATGAGATATGAGAGTAATGTTATGGATTTTGTGTCATCTTATTCTTCACATTTTCTTGCTCAAGAAATCCATAGGAAATCTTTCATAACAAGACATGTCATTACCGCTAACCACTATAGAATTTGGTCTCTCAGTTGAACCATTACAAGTTTTGGACTCTCGTACCATCATGAGACAATCACAACTAATTCCTTAAGTTTTAATTTAATGGAATTCTTTAGATTCTTGAGCTCCTAGCTGGTTAAAGAGATTAAAGAAAACTTTCTCAAATTCAACTTGAGGACAATGTTGTTTTTAATGACAAAGTATTGTAACATACACACAAAATAATGTTGAGCTGAATAAGAAGAAAAAGTTGGTTATGCAAAATACTCAAATGGAGGATGATATGAAAGATTCAAACCAAAGAAAAAGTATGAGACAAAAGAAAAAGAATATATTCAAGAATTTTGTCGTGGAAGGGACATAAAATGTAGTAAGAATTCAAAAAATTAATATCATAAATATATTGTAATTTCCTTATTTCAATTTATATTAATCTTTGATATTATACTTAATTACATTAAAAGATATAAACAAAATTCACACATATTATTTAAAAAATTTTGTTGTTTAATTGTTAAAGATGATAACTAGGAAGGATATATCTCCATACTTCATTCTTCACTATATTATAATTTTTTTTTTCTCCTCAATTTCTTGAAACAAGAAGAAAAAATGGTATTTTGTCATATACACATTTTTTCCCATTGCACGGCATCATGTCCATAGTCTGTGAATATTAGTTTACGGGTTACATGAGAGGGAGAATGATCTAAAATAAAGTAAGGTACAAAATTTATAAAAAAAATAAGGTGTAGAATTTTAAGTAATAAAGTAAGTATACCTAAAGAAAATTTTTACTAGACATTAAGATAATTGTTTATTTAAATATGAATAATCATTTCAAAGAATTATAGAGAAATGAGGAGTTGAAATGAAACTAGAAAAAAATAAAGACAAAGTTGTAAAAATAAACTAACTCCTTGGATAAATAAATAGAGTGAAGAAACAAAGAAGAAAATACGAAGAGAGAGAAGAGAAGTACGAAGGTGGTGAAGTGTTGACATGTCACTATAGAATGAGCCACCTTATATAAGTTATGATTATCGTCACTTGACTAAGTTCAAAATAAGATACTCAAAGAGATGGCGACACTTTAAAAAACTTTACAAACTTATCATAAATATTCAATCTAATTATACGAGGAAAATTTTTTATTTATAGATTAAAAAAAATTATAAAATAAGACATAAATTTAATCTAAACATAAATGTTAAAAATTCATGATTAGCTAAATATGTTAAATTTATTATAGTCTATCACAAATATCTCTAAAAATGTGAAAGTATATAAAAGAAAAAGATATATTTTCTTTTAAATTATCTCAAGCCTACCAATTCCATATCCAAGCTTATCACAAGGCATTTTCTCGAACAGTCTCCTGGCTGTGTCCAACTTCCCACAAACAAACAACCAACCCAGCAATCACGGAGGTCCAATGCGAACACGTTGCGCACACGCATCTTATAAAACACCTTCCATCCACCATCCACATCCTCACACTTAAAGTATAGATTCATCACGTTGGTCTGCACATAAAGGTCACTCCAAAATCCATTTTGATGGCAAGAGCATGGGCATTAGAGGCCACACAAGCACTGATTACAAAAGGGTATGTGAACTTGTCAGGTGCAAAGCCCTGAACAAAAGAAGTGCCATTTTACGCGAACCACCAACGGTATAAGCTCTAATCATGACATTCCAGGTGAAGGTATCTGGGGCATGGAGTTGATCAAATACAAGAGTGGCATAACTCAATTTGCCATAAGAGGAAGACAGCTGAATCAACTTCCGCATAAGCAATTGGTCATAGGTGAGACCAAAACGGATTATTCTACCATGCACTTGCTTAAGCTCCTTGAAACTGCTACATTTTTGAAGAACCACAAGGGCTTCCTCAGAACCAAACCTTGCTCTTGGGTTCTCATGTAGCGAACATTAATCTCTTGGCTACAACATGCCACACCTTCATGGCATGCCCAATTCCAATTTGTCCAAGCTAACTACCCAACCATTAATGCCAATTGGGAACACCTAAGAACACAAAAAGACAAACCCATAACCAAAGGAATCTAAGATGATGTTGCTAAATGCTCAACCGCAGGAATAGAAGAAGATTGGTGTACTATTTGGATAAGGTTATGTTTATCACTCTTCCAAAAAATCAAAGGGCATGAATGTAGACAAATATTTGGACGTGTGTATACAATAAGATATAAACTATGAATTTGGTGCATAAAGTTTAAAGACGGTTCAAAAAATAAATTTAAGGAATAAAGTGATTATATATATATATATATATATATATATATATATATATATATATATATATATATATTTTTTTTTTTTTTTTTTTTAATTTGTGTCCTGCAACTTGAATAAAAGTTAGGATTCACAGGGAGTGTCAAGAACGAACAAGAAATTTCTCCATCTTTGAGCATAAAATAATTTTAATATTTTCTCTGAAATATCAGAAAATCGACTAAGAACCTAAATTTTCATCTTTTGATTATATTTTAGTGGAAAGAATAACGACAAAATATGGCAACCATATATGACATTATGATGTACGATTATAATACCCCTACCTAAATTTCATAATCCCATTCAGAAAAAAAAAAATCAACTAGATATAAATTATAATATTGTTCAGAAATAATCTAAATTATATAATATAATTTGTATATACGAAAAAAAAAAGACAATAAAACATGTATAATCTTAGCTTAATTAAAATTTATCTACTATTTATTTTATTTATTTATTTAATAACAAAATGTTTAATTAAGTTTGACAATTTAAAAAAAAATGCATTAAACATGATCTTTTATTCGTTGAAATTAAATTTATTAATTTTTTTATTTTTACTGTATGTAAATAAAAATTTCAATATTTATTTAGTAAATTGAACGAAAAAGAGACTATAAAAAAATTAAATGACTTCACCAAATCTCGTATTATTACAAAGATTAAAATAAAAAAATAATAATAAACAAAAAGTTTAACTAAATTTATATCAATAATCTCCATGTTCTTGATAAATTTAGAGTTAAGTATGAAAACTACTAATAACACATTTTTAACATATTTCTTTCAATAGACACTTTTCGATTATGTAAAATTGATTGAAATTGTAAAATTAAAGAGAAATAGTAAACATAATATCAAAAATCACATTTTTTTTGAAAAGGTTAATAAATTTTTATTTTTAACAAAGAAAAAAATACATTAAGAAAAGGTAAAATATTATAAAATGATAGTATTATTTCTTGGATAAATAATCAATTCAATGATGTTTACCAATTTAGTTCTTAAAAAAAGGAAAAATATTAATTTAATTTACGAATATTAAAATATTATTTTTATGAAACCCAACATCTACGTATTCTTTTTTTTTTTTTTTTTACTATTTTACCATTTTGTGAAATTTTATCTACAAGTAGCACGTATTCGTTTTTTAATTACTTAAATAGCATAAGTTTTATTTACCTAGATAGCACAGTTTTTTGTTAAGTTAAGAATTGGATTTTCCGAATATGAAACCCGAACGTAATTATATTTTATAATTTTTTCAAACAATTTAAAATTCGATTTTCCGACAACCGAATTCTAAATAGTTTTCTTTTTATTTTGTTAAGAAAAAAAACTAACTAAAATATATATATATATATATATATATATAATATGTTATAATATTTTATTTAACATTTATAGTTTAAAATTAGGTATTTAAAAAAATATGTATATTTCTAAAATTAATAATATATTTAGATTTATTATTGAAAGTAGTAAAATAATATTTTTAAAATATATTATTAAATATTATATTTAAATTTATTTGTATGATTAAATTTTTTGATTTATTTGATATTATAATTTTTTTAGAAATTAATAATAAATTAGGAGGATAATAAAAATCTTAAAAATTATATATATAAGAAGAAATAATATTTTGATGTAAAATTATATATATATATATATATATTCTAAAATATAATTTATATTAATTACTATAATATAAAATATATATTCCAAAATATAACTTATTTTCATTTATATATATATTATAGAAATTAAAATAATTTATATTTTAAAATATATATATATATATATATATATATTAAATATAAATTATTTTCAAGTTGATAATTATTATTCTAATTTATGCAAAAATATATATATATATATATATATATAATTAATTTAAAAATTTAATTTAAGTAATATATCTATATATAATTATAATTTATATAATATATATAATTTATTTAACATTAGTTTTATAGTTATAATTTTTTTTAAAGTTATAATTATAAATAAGATTTTTTTAATTATATAATTATAATTTTTATACTATATAATTGATAAATAATTTTTTTTAATTTTAATTTTAATTTAATATATATTTTTATTTATAATTTTTTAATATATATTTGAGAAATTAATCAATTATAATCTATTATTTGAAAAACTAATCAATTATTTAAAAAACTAATCGATTATAATTAATTATTTGAAAAAATTATCAAATATAATCGATTATTTGAAATTATCGAATATAATCGATTATTTGAAAATAATCGATTATAATCAATTATTTGAAAATATAATAAATTATTTAAAAATTTAATCGATCATAATGAAATAATTAAAAAATTAATCGATTTAGAATTCGATTTGTTCCAATCAAATTCTGAATAGATTTTTTTATTTTGATAAGAAAGAAAAAATAACTAATATATATATATATATATATATATATATATATATTCTAAAATATAATTTATTTTAATTTTACATAAAAATATTATTTCTTTTTATATGTATTTTCCTCGTAATTTATTATTAATTTCTAAAAAAATATTACAATATCAAATAAATTAAAAAATTAAAAAATTTAATCATACAAATAAAAATTATATTTTACTACTTTCAACCATAATTCTAAATATATTATTAATCTAATAAATACATAATTCTTTTTAAAACTATATTTAAAACTATAAATTTTATATAAAACATTATAAAATTATATATATATATATATATATTACTTAATATAAATTTGAAAAATTATTTAAACAATTAATTTATTAATTTATAATTATTCAATTATGATCGATTAATTTTATTACTTTTTAAAAAAATTGAGTATAATCTATTATTTTTTCAAATAATCGACTATAATCTATTAATTTTTAAAATATACATTAAATAATTACAAATAAAAATATATATCTAGTTAAAATTTTAAAAAAATATTTATAAATTATATAAATTATAATTATAGAGTTAAAAAAATTATATTCAGAATTATAACTTTTAAAAAAATTATAATTATAAAATTAATAAGAAAAATAACTATTTTTTATGTTAAATAAATTATATATATATATAACATAAATTAAAATTACATATATTAATTTCAAATTAATTATTATTATTATTATTATTATTATTATATATATATATATATATATATTTATTGTATACATTAAAATAATAATTATCAACTTAATGTATACATTAAAATAATAATTATCAACTTAAAAATAAATTATATTTAATATATATATATATATATATATATATATATCATTCAAAATATTACAAATACATAAGAAAAAAATGCATTTCAAAAATATAATTTTACATCAAAATATTATTTCATCTTATATACATATAATTTTTAAAAATTTTATTATCCTCCTAATTATTATTAATTTCTTAAAAATATATTACAATATCAAATAAATAAATAAATTAAAAAAAATTAACCATACAAATAATATAAATATAATATTTAATAGTATATTTTAAAAATATTATTTTACTACGTTCAACCATAAATCTAAATATATTTTTAATTTTTAAAATATATAAATATTTTTAAAATTTTAAATTTTAAATAAAATATTATAATATTATATATATATATATATATACCAGTTTTTTCTTATCAAAATAAAAAAATCTATTTAGGATTCGATTGCGAACAAATCGAATTCTAAATCAATTACTTTTTTAATTACTTCGTTATGATCGATTAAATTTTCAAATAATCGATTATATTTTCAAATAATTGGTTATAATTGATTACTTTTTCAAATAATCGATTATATTTTCAAATAATTGGTTATAATCGATTACTTTTTCAAATAATCGTTCACTTTTAAGAGCGGTTAAAGTGGAACCGTTATCATATATGTGTCACTTTTAATATCATATATATGTCACTTTTAAGAGCGGTTAATATTTTAACCGCTCTTAAAAGTGAACATATAATAGTAGTTCCGTGTTAACCGCTATCTAAAATATATTTTTAATAGCCGTTAGTTCTAGAACCGCTATCTAAAATCTCGGGTCAATTCTTGCTCAAGCGACGGGTACTTTCGCTTGAGCGAGAAGTGATTGAAATATGTGGTGACCCAAGTTGCATTATGTGGCTAAACGTCCAGCGCAGCTAGCCACATAACGCAACTTGGGTCACCACATATTTAATCACTTCTCGCTCAAGCGAAAATACCCGTCGTTTGAGCGAGAATTGACCGGAGATTACCCCTTTGTTACTGATTTCCTCGCTCAAGCGAATGGTTTCTTCGCTAAGCGAGAATTGACCCGAGATTACCCCTTTGTTACAGATTTCCTCACTCAAGCGAAGGGTTTCTTCGCTTGAGCGAGAGTTGATTGCGCGAAATAATCGATCATAATATAAAATAATCGATTATTTTAATACGTGAACAAGTAAAGAGTGCTAGTTGTGTAAATAATGTTTCGGATGTGCTATTTTAGAAAATATTTTTAAAAATAGTAGTATTTATGAAAAAAAGTCTTTATATTATAGAAATGAAAATAAGTTATACTTTGGAATAAATATATATATATATATATATATATATATATATATATATTAGAAATGAAAATAAGTTATAGATAAGAAAACTAATATATTAATATTTTTGAAATCCTTAGTACATTACATAATAGCCCATACTCGCACGAGGTTTAACTACCA